TTTCTCAAAATCACATAAAACCATATTATAACATCAGCTGAGATAAATAATAAAATGAAATATTATCTCGCTGCATTGCGCGAGTACGCTTCTAGTTGTTTTGTAATTATTGAGTACTAAATTAGGATGTTTAATGGTTGAGGAACTCATTAATAAAGTTTTAAACTATCAAGAGGTAAATTGTTTTTTGCCAAACAAGATTAACCTCTTAGCGATTGTATCTTAATAAAACTATTAAGACGTAAACAAACAATCCTTTAGAATTAGGTTATATATATATATATATATATATATATATATATATATATATAATATCATTAAAAGAAAATAGTAACATTAAAATTTAAAAAACTTTTATCCATTTTACTTCAACAACTCAAATAAGGCTCACGAAAAAGTCTATTTGTCTAATTGTGAAATCGTGATTTTAGTTGTATGATATTTAAAGTTCTGTTTAGTTATATATTGTAATCTAGTACATTGTTTGTAATTTGTTCAGTTATGTTTGAGACATTTAAACTTGTATATTTAAAAAAATTGTAATTTATTTTTAGTTGTGAAAATTAACATGTAATTTTTTTAGATCTGTTTCGGGTTCGGTTACAACCAACGGTGAACGGGAAAAAAGGATTTTTACCTTAACGGATTCCCCAATGGGAATCGGGGAAACCGCGGGGACCCGATGAGTATCGAGGCAGTCATAGGGACAGTTTTAGTTATCGGTTTATGGGACGGGGATACCAATAACAGGCCCGAACATGGCCCGTTGCCATTCTTAGTTTTAAACGAGATCGAGCATAGCAGAACAGAGCAAATCGAGATACAGCGTCGATGAATGGATGAGAGCTAAGGAATTTGTCGGATTGGAATTTGAAATCTGTGGTATTTGCGGTGGAATTGTGAAATCAATGAATTAAGGAATTTGTTATAATTGGAAGGATTCCTTCGCATCTATTATGTGAACCAAACATGACATTTGGAATTTAGTCAAAGATTTGGAGATTCCAATTCCTTCCAATTCCACCAAATTTCATGAACCAAACACCCCCTAAGGGGTCATTTGGTTCGCGAAATTCAGATGAATTTGATAGAATTGGGATGACAAATTCCAATTCCTTTGTGTGGTTTAGTTCTTGAAATGGATGGAATCCTTCAAATAAAATTGAATTCTACAAGTTAATAAATTCATCATTCCTTGGCATAATGAAATGAATTGAATTTCACCACCACCCACCGTGATCATGCTACTATTGTTCGTGATGCCCTACCCCTAACAACCCCCCTCCCAACCACTATCCACCATGTCTGTCCCGAACAACCCCCACCTATTGAACAGGGGAAGGCAAGAGTGGTGGGGGCGGGGCGGGGTGATAGTTGTGACGATGACATTAGTGACATGGTGGTTGGTAGGGTGTGGACGGGGCGATGGGTGAGATAGTTCATACAAAGACAATTATTCCAATTCTATTGATAGATTTCATTTCAATTCCTACCAACCAAACGGATGGTCAAATTCCATTCCAATTCCTACCAACCAAACGCATGGTCAAATTCCATTCCAATTTTTTAAAAGTCAAATTCCTTTGATGGATTACAATTCCATCAAATTTCATTATGTGAACCAAACACCCCCTAACAACTACTCTATTATAGCATGCAAACATTAATTATATTATAAAAATAATTTATAAATTCGTCGTCATCTTAATGGCTAATATATTTTATAAATGTTATTGAACATTAAATCTCATTGGTATAAACAAATAAATAATATCTCTTCTCGATATTAAAGTTTAGACATTTCTCTAAATTTGGAGAATCAAACTTTTTTTGCCATACTCGTTAAGTTCCTATCAGTATCCATGATACAAGTCGGATCCTAGATGTAGAAATATTCGTTTTTAGCCAACCGGAGGGAGGCTTGTGCGGAACGGGCACAGAGAAAAGGAAGTTCAGAGGAGAAGTAGTGCAAATTAGAGCCCCTGTCCCTTCGATTCTTGTATACAAGTCGAGGAGTTAAAGTATGCCGTTGGCACTGGCTACAAGGTGATCCCTTATCTTCCCTAACGTTTTAGAGTTGTTCTGGTTTGAGAAACCCCCTTTTGCCCAGGGGGCATCGTTGGAGAATTTTAGCATATGTGTACGTAGCTGTTGGAACAAAAAGAACTCCAAAACCTTTTAGAATCTGTATTTTAATATAATTATTGAAGATGCTTACCCTTTATCTGATGTTATTAAATGCATCTGTTCGTTTTTAATTTAATAAATATTATAAATGATAAACGTTTAAAAAAAATATTATATTCCATAATTCCATGATCTTTTAAGATCTTCATCAAATACCAAATATAAAACATGGGTATAAAAGTAATTCACACTACTTTATTGATTCTCTTTGTTGCAAATTACATTTACAGATTAGGACTCGTTGTATGTCATTTTGTAATGAATTGGTCTCTCCCTCTAACTGTCATCCAGTTCCTTTGATAAATAAATGAAAAACTGGAAAATTATAAAAAAAAACGGATGAAAAATATATCAGTATACTGTGATTTATTTCGCTCGATTTTTGTTTATATTTAATTTTTTCCGAATAAAAACAGGGGTGGTGAATTTTTTCTTAATTTAAAAAATATTGTTATAAGTGTCCACTTAATTACACTCGTTGAATCAATTAATCTAGTGGTCGATAGATGTGGTTTCTCCTGAATGGTTGAACCTCACCATGTATAACTATATATGTATGTGTGCGCGCATGCGTGAACGTACGTGCATACCCATGAATTGAGAAGGGAAACATTGGAAGACAACTCTTGATCACTTTTAATCTCATGTCTACCAATGAATTGAGTTTTAGAAGGGAATTGATCTGCCATCTCAGTGCACCTCATTAGTGTTGACATTCAATTATGATTGATCCAATGGTGGATAACACTTATTACGCTTCTCATAATAACTTCTCTTCTCACTGGATTCCAACTATATATATATATATATATGTGGAGAGAGGGAGAGAGCATGTGTGTAAGGTTCAGGGGAAAACCTAAAAAAAATAAAATACTGAGGAACATCCTGGTAAACATCATCTGGATGGTATACACATATGCATACTAGTAATTGAAACTTTGTTTGATTTTTATGCATGTGTGCATGTTATGTACATGTTCATACCATATAAATTGCTTAAAATTATCAAAATGCACATGTACATACCGTCAAAATGAATGGTTACTGAAGTGTTCCTAAGTTTTTTATTTTTTTTTATGGTTTTCCCTTAAACCTGACCCTATATATATATATATATATATATATATATATATATACACACACACACATATATATATATATATATATATATATATATATATATATACACACACACACATATATAGGAACCTTTTTTTCTCCTCAAAGGCTCGTATGGAAAGTAAGTATGGGGGTTCAACATATTCTTATATGGTATCAGAGCTAGGTTTGCCACATTAGGGGACCCGATACTCTAGCTACCCCCCCTCTCGACAATTTATTTCCATCTAGCCTCCGTTAGATGGGGGGGGGGGGTGTTGGAGTCCTACATCTACTAGACTTGAACTACTACTTATATATATGTTTGAACATTCTCTTTTTTCTCAAGGGTTCTTATGGAGGGTAAACATAAAATCCATATTCTCACTTTTTCGAGCCAGAGATTTTCATATATTTATAAATCATAAAATCAAGATGTAAAAACTTTTGAGCTCGAGTTCATGAACATATCGACCAATCTAGAATTCATACTCATAACCGAACTTATAGAACTTGAATTTGGATAATAATGTACAACTTAGAATTATTAACAAAAAAAGAGAGGAAGCCGAATCTTAACCCGTCATGACCAAAAATCTAAAACCAAATTCGGACCAACGATCCTAAACCAGTCATTTATGCATCTTTATCTAAAACCAACTAGAGTTAGCTCAACTGACAATAAAACTTGAGCATTTCACGATCTTTGTTGGAAGTCACTGTTCAAAGTCCTGCAAAACTACTAGGAATTTTCCAGATTATTTTTCAGAATCTTTAAAATTAATCAAGATATATGTAAGCTGATCTAAACACCCATGATTTAAAAAACATACTTTTTTTATTAACTTGGATATCCAATCCGTTATGTGAGCTGACTAATCCCAGACGACCACCTGCTCTGCAGATAGCCCGGAGTCACTGCATTTGAACCTCCATGGCCACAAGGAGATTTTTATTTCTCCTTACATTTGAACCTGATACTTCCAGGTACTTTTTATATTTAAAGTCAAACTCAAACCATTCAAACACGATAAAAAAAAAATACTTTTAAGATACAAGTCATCAGGCACTTTGTGAGCAGCCGTACGAAGTCAGCTGTCCACGATCATCACCCACCCACACCCCTACACGAACTCTATCCGTCCAAATCGAATTTCCCTTTTCATCTCTTGTGTATATATATATATATATATATATCTCTCTCTTACCACTTCCCCCAAATTTAGGTTTTTCCAGATTCTCTTTTCAATCGTTCTTCCAAAACCCACAAACCCTCATCGATTTTTCTCATCAATTTCACAAAGGGTTTCTTCGATTAATCAATAAATAGCCACATAAACATGGACCAATATGTTCTTGATAACATGATTCGTAGGCTGCTTGAAGTTAAAGGAAGACCTGGTAAACAGGTTCAACTCACTGAGCCAGAAATCAAGCAACTCTGTGTCGTATCTAGAGAGATTTTCTTGCGACAGCCGAATTTGTTGGAACTCGAAGCACCCATCAAGATTTGTGGTTTGATTCCTGTTCTTGGATTATGTTTTTGTTCTTGATTTTTTGGTATTTGTTTTATAAATCTCTGTATGATTAATTTCATATGGGTTTTTTGAGTTTTTATCTGTTCTTTGATGATTAATGTGAATCTGTTCTTTGTTCATCAAATAGAAGTTCCCCCTTTTATATATGTTTGAAAAATTGCAGCTTGTTCTTTGTGTTTTGGTTTACAAGAAGTTATGTATGAGAAATTGTTGTGATCTTATGGTAGTATGGTGTTAGTCTTGCTGATCATATAACACTAGGGGTATTTAGGTAACTTTATGTTGCTTCGTGTTCGATTCTAAGAGATGGGCTAGTCTCTAGGGTGCGTTTGGTATCCAGATTGGATCGGATAGGATTGAACATGCAGTCATGCAGGGAGGTAGGTAGGTAGGTAGGCGGATGAAAGAATTGTGGCTGGTTTTAGGGGTTCTAATTTCGTAAGGGTAGTTTAGTAATTCACCAACCTTGTCTCATCTCTCTTATTTTCGTTCCATCTATTTTGGTGTTCGATTTTAAGAGATGGGCTGGTTGTGAAACCGGATACTTGAGCATGCGTTTGGTATGCAGGATTGGATTGCACTGGACGGGCGATAGGCAGGTGAAAGAATTGCGGAAGATTTTCGGGTTCTAATTTCATAGGGGTAGTTTAGTAATTTATCAATCTTGTCTCGTCTCCCTGATTTTCATTCCATTTATTTGTGTTCAATTTTAAGAGATGGAGAGTGCATTTGGTATATTGGATTGGACTGGGATGAGTGAGAAGGTTTTAGGGTTTTAATTTCATATGGGTAGTTTAGTAATTTATCAATCTTGTCTCATCTACTTGATCTTTGTTCCACCTATGTAGATGGGACAAAGAAAATGCATTTTTATCCCACTAGCTTATTATCCAACAACTAGCTTTTCAGCCAACAACTAGCTTTTTAGCTAGCTTATTAGCCAACAACTAGCTTTGCAACTAACAAGCTAACAACTAGCTTTTTAGCTAGCTTATTAGCCAACAACTAGCTTTTCAAGTAACAAGCTAGCTTTTCAAGTAACAAGCTAACAACTGGCTTATCAGCCATAATTACTTTTTACACCAACACTCTCCAAGCGAATGGTGATCAAATTTGACATGTCATATATGCCTCGGTTTTCTTTTTTAAGGTGCAAGAAATACTAACAAGAAACTAACCGAATGGAACGATGGTTATCAGGTGACATCCACGGTCAATATTCTGATCTTTTGCGCCTTTTCGAATACGGCGGATTACCTCCTCGTGCCAACTACTTATTCCTCGGTGATTATGTTGACCGAGGGAAACAAAGCCTCGAGACAATATGCCTTCTTCTTGCCTATAAGATAAAATACCCAAATAACTTCTTCCTTCTGCGTGGAAACCATGAATGCGCGTCCATCAATCGAATATATGGATTCTATGATGAATGTAAAAGAAGATTCAACGTTAAATTATGGAAGATTTTCTCTGATTGCTTCAATTGCCTGCCTGTGGCCGCTCTTATTGACGAAAAGATTCTGTGCATGCACGGAGGTCTTTCACCCGACCTCAATAACTTGGATCAAATTAGAAACTTGAGGCGGCCTACGGACGTACCGGATGGTGGTTTGCTTTGTGATCTTCTTTGGTCGGATCCATGTAAAGATGTTAAAGGATGGGGGATGAACGATCGTGGAGTTTCGTATACTTTTGGTGCTAATATCGTCACCGACTTTCTTCAGAAGCATGATCTGGATCTTGTTTGTCGTGCTCATCAGGTTTGGATATCTACACTCGGTTCTTCTTGTTTATATTGTTTATGTCCTGCACATCGAGAAAAATGTATTGTGGAAAAATTCCCATTTCAGCTAAATGACAATTTTACCCTTGATAATAGTTGGAGTACTGAATTTCCCAACTCATAGTTAAGGGTAGAATTGTAAAGTAGACATTTACATCGGGACGGAGGGAGTAACACTTTGTTTTTGGGATGACCGATGGCAATTGTTGGAATGCTTTTATGTTGGAAATTACGTATTTACCCGGAAACGATGGCATTTATATGGCTCGGCTCGACAAGCTTCCTCTATCTTGTCTTTTATCGGAAGGGTATTTTAGAACCCGAAAAATTGTCAAACAATTTCCTTCAACGAATGGAGCACAATAAATGATCCATTCGTATCGACAACAAATAAACATATTAACCATAAAAACCATAATAAAACACTTCCAATATATCCAAAACACTAAACCAAACTAAACGAACCCAATATATCTCAATCAAAAGTAGGATTTAAAGGGTAAGATGTATGCGGATCTATCCTTCTCCCCAAAGGGTAGAACAGTCATTTTGCATAAAGACACCGTGCTCGTGAAAAGGCAAGCAGAACAGAAAACAGAGGAATATCAATATGTTTTCCGAGTGATTTTACACAGTGATTGAAGGTCGGTAAATTGATTGCAGGTTGTCGAAGACGGATACGAGTTCTTTGCAAACCGGCAACTCGTAACCGTTTTTTCCGCTCCGAATTACTGTGGGGAGTTTGACAATGCTGGTGCTATGATGAGCGTGGACGAGACTCTCATGTGCTCGTTCCAAATTCTAAAACCCGCGGAAAAGAAGCCAAAATTCAATCCGGGTATCAATTTCTTTGGGAGCACAACCACAGCTAAACCGGGAAACACTCCACCAGGAGTCAAGGTACGTCGACAACATTAGCAAAATGTCCGAAACGACCTTCGTAATTTGTACTCTTATTAGCCGCAAACGTTGGTCTTTATTTTTCTTACGTTTTTGCAGCCTTTTCTCGGAGCTCGAGTATGAGATTTGGAGCACGAAGGGACTCGCGGTTGAAGGGTAAAATTCGGGGGAATAAATTTTATTGTTCGATAGGCTATAGTTGCGTGGAGGTTAGATGAAAAACGTATCTAACCGTTGTTGATTGTTGTACCCTAGTTATACGTAGTATATAATACCCCGGTTGTTAATTAACCCTATAACTAAAAACGTATTATTGACACATTCCTTGATAATTTCGGGGACAAATAAAACGGAGTTGGTGTATTTTGGTTTG